GGAATTTTCTCGGAACTTAACGGGGCCAACACTTGTGGGCCCCTTTTTATGCATAATTTGAATTGAATTAGGGTTAAATTATTTAAACTCTTTATATTTTGTAATTTTCTATTTTTTGGGATATTTGATTTGAGTTTATCTTATTTCAAGACTTATTTCTCAATATTTTCTCTATTAGATTGTTGTATCATTTTATTTCTTTCATAAGATGTGTGTGCAACCTGATTGGGTTGAGGTGATGATCGCCCCGGACATCTGATAACCTGCTACCTTAGGTTGTTAGATAGCAGAAACATGTTGCTTCTCATAAAATGAAACATTATCCAGCCACCAGTCGTGTCATATTTTCTTTCCCTCATTACCAATCCTACTACTATCCTAGTACATCCCTTGATCTTTACATCCCATCTAGAAATCAAGAAATGGTGTCTATGGCTATTCTTAATCAAAAGCTATTAGATTGTTGAGAGAGAGAATTAATCAGAGAGACTTGTAACTATGAGAAGTGCTTCAAATGCCACGTTTTTGACAGATAGAATATGATTGGCAAAACCGGATGGTGATCTCTTCGTAGAGAGTGAATGAAAAAGTGAACAGTAATAAAAGAAAATGGGGATATTAGAGAGGAGAATCAGCTTCAAATCGTTGAGAGATGTTAAATATTCAACGGATCCTTTAGACTTAGCCCATGCAAGAGGAACAGTGGCTCTACTGTAATATTTTTCATACTCATTAAACTATGAAAGAAAAGAGGTGTGATCTTATAATATAGATAAGGGTGGTTGTGAGAATATGGTGTCTACCCAAATGATCGACAAGTTGAATCTGACAACACAGAAGCGCAACCAATTTTATTCTCTATCTTGGTTGAAAAATGAATAAAATCATGAATGACAATAGATGCCTTATGGAGTTCTCTATTGAAGACAAGTTCCAAGAGTAAATGGAATGTGATAGGGTAACTATGAATGTTTATCACCTCCGATTAGGCCATCCTTGACAGTATAACCGTTACAAACATCATTATGACTGCAAAAGTATGTTCTTTTATAAAAAAAATTGAAAGCACATTGTACTTCAATCACTAAAAGATTACATAGCCATGGAAAGCACATTGTACTTTTATCACTGAAAAAATACACAACAATGAGTACTCATGCAAAGAGAAAACTTATTGTCTTCTGCTACATTTCTACAGGTTATGAGAGACGCGATAGTAGGACTGCCCATGGTGATGGCAGAAGATACCGATACAAAGAAGCAAATTTCAGGATAACGTGACCGCCAGTCTAAAACCAAGGTTTCCGGGTACTCAACATGTCAAAGATCTCATTTTAGGGTCTGATCTCCCAAATAGATATCTCTATCGGATGCGTCCTGTCGAGAACAAGGAGCTGCAAAAACATATATAAACTAAATAGTTAGAGATATGGTTCGTGAGCAGAAACCCATGTGCAATTTCAGCCCTTGTTGTGACAAAAAATAAAGGGTGTTTGTTCTACCAGAATAAACTTTAGAATGGCATAGATGTTCCGAAGTAGTCTTGGGTGGATATGAGCATAGATTTTGTAATGGGTTGCCCCAGTCACAGCAAAGTAATGACTTTGCTATGATGGTGATAGATCAATTTCAGAAGTTTCTGAAGAAGGTGTAGCATCTTCTACCAAGGAAGAATAATGCACAAGTGGTCTACCACGATCCATGTGATCCTGTGATCAGATCGAGAACGAGCAACAAAAGAAAACTCCTTTCCAAGAGTTTGTAGAGGAAATTTGCTTGGCATTGAATGGGTCGACCCTTGTAGGCCCTGTTTTTATGCCTATTTTGAGTTAAATTAAGGTTATTTTTTTTTAAAATATTTATATGTTATTCTTTCCTATTTTGAGGGGACATGCATTGAATTTATATCACCAGGAATTTCTTTTTGTCCCTATTTTCTCTATTAAGATGTTGTATCCTTTGATATCTCTCGAGTGGTTTGCTTGTGATCTAATTGAATCAAAATGGTCATCTCTCCCGAAGTCTGACATCTTCCTCCCTCTTCAAACTTGCTGCCATCTGCCATTAATAGTAGAAATTTGTTATTTCTTAGCAACCCTCTGGTTGTGCTGCAATTCAACCATCATCTCTCAACACTTCTTCGATACCTATCATACTACTATCCTAACCCATTCATTAATCTTTTCACATCATCTAGAAACCGCATAATGGTGTCAATGACTACTCTTAATAAAAACATATTGGGTTGTTGGGAAAGATAATTAAACATAGATATTTGTACTTAAGAGAAACCTGTAACAAGATCATAAAATCCTCAAAAAATGACGGCAAAAATCAAATTTATCTAAGAAAATTTAATTTGTCATAAGAAAATTTGACTTGAAACCAGCAAAGTCTCTAAGGAGGGATACACACAAGTACTCCGAACCGACACAAATGTATTGCAATGCAACAAACTTTGCATATGCTTCTAAGTTAAAAAGTGGGAGAGATTTGGACATAAAACAAAACTATTGTTAGAAAAGAAAAACGAGAATATGTACTGAAGGAGTGAGATATGACCTACATATTCTATAGAATGAGTATTTAGGCAAATTTTTCTCTTAAGCAAAAGAAACATTGTTTAAATAAAAAATTATTTAATTTATAAGATATTTCATGGAAAAAATTGCCTAATAACTTTTATAGTTCCAAAGGTATTCTTCCTTTTTTTTTACAATGCGCGAGTCACGTGATTTTGGCTACATATAAAAAAGTAACGACTTACAATAATAAAGAAGGAAAAAACAAAATAGTTACATTTCATAAAAGTAGAATGATATTTTTATTTATACTTCATATTTTTTTAAGTAGGAGAAATAAGAACAATAACCATGGGAGCTGATTAAAATTGGAAATTTATGTTATAAACATCATCAGCTTAAACCAAGAGAATGTGAAATACTTTCATAAGAAATGTATTATAGTTAGCATAAAATTCAATGAGAGAAGATGCACATAAAGAATAATTTTGAATACCATTCTATTTCTTTTAGAAGTTTTCCTAATAACTTTTGCCACTTCTTAAGGAAGTAACCAGTGTTAAGGCAACTCATAGTTCACATATACTAGAACCTATTGTGGGTACTACAGTTGGTATTCCTTCTGCTTTAGCTCTACCACCCCATCAGACTGATTCTTCGAAGGAATGGCAGGTCTATTACAGGAGGAGAAAGAAGAATGGAGCTCGACTCCAACTCTGGAACATATTGGATGATACATTGGTTACTACTGGCAATGACAATCATCTTACCAACTTATTAGCTTGCTCCTTCCCTAAAACTAGAGGCAGAGGCAAGACCAAATTGGGTCACTCTCTAGCCACATGATACTATGTATTTCGGCACTGTTAAGTTTTTTATTTTAGTATCTAATTTATTTTTTATTTTTTTCTAGTTTTAAAATATTTTATGGTTTTTTGTGTGGACAGGGTGCCATACTTGGGCCCTCCCTCACATTGTATACGTATCTTTTATTATGTTTAATATATTAGCCTTTTTAGACTTTATTTTTTACAGAAACTGAAGGTATTCAACTTGCTTCCTCCTGTCGACTGAATTTAGTTGAGAAATTTTTGTATGGTCATCCCAAAATAGACCTGATTCGTAAAGAATTTAAGTTTATGCACCTGGTTGGGGAATGAAAAATTGGACTGTTAGATGGAAGACACATTCTCATACAAATTAATAAAGAAGAGGATTACACGCGTTTATTTGCTAGAAGGATAATCTAGATTGATAATAGAGCAATAAAGATTCAGAAATTGTTTGTGGATTTTGACCCTCAGACAGAACCTCCGATCATTCTGGTTTGGATTCGCCTCCCTGGTCTGAAATTTCATTATTTTACTCAAAAGGTTTTGTACGCTACTGCCTCAGCTTATGGTAAGCTACTCAAAACGGATATTCCTACTTGTAATATTTTCCGTCCATCAAAAGCTAGAGTACTTGTTGAAAGAGAAATCACTTCATCTACTTGTGAGATAATTTGGTTAGCACACAACATCATGGGTATTGGCAAAAGATAGTGATTGAGCATTTTCCTTCGTATTGTTCAAACTGTCGTATGTTCGACCACTCCAGTTCTCAATGTCACCATCTATATCCACACCTCAGACCAAAAAAGCACAGTACTCCGTCAGAGACAGTGATTTCATCTCCTCATGATCAACTCCAAATTATTGACAATATTGATCATCAAAAGAATGCCCCCGAAGATGTCACTATTCTCACAGGCAATATTACAACAACTCAGCCATCTCTGGAACCACCTATCGTGGGTGAGAGGGAGATTCTTCAGACCCCACTTGCCCTAGGAACTATCACTGTTATTACAGGTTGCAATACTTCTACAGTTTCACTACCGCCTTATCAGGTCGAGCAAGTTGTATCTGTCTCTCAGATTCATGGAGATCATGTTGCGCAACGGCCTACACATGTCCAACCAACTTGGAACAATCTATTGATCAAATGAGTCAATCATCGGATGAGGAATGACAGGTCTACACATCAAGAAGGAAGAAGAAAAATGGAGACCAACTTGAGCTCAAGAATCAGATGGATGATACTTTGGTTACTTCAGGCAATGACACTCACCTTATTAATTTGTTAGCAGACTCAATTCCAAGAACTAGAGGCAGAGGGAGGACTAAAGTGGGACGTCCCTAGCACTTTTGCGCCCTTTGGGTTTTGTGTGTGTTACTATGTGAGTTGAGTTTTCTTTTAAGCTCTCTCATACAATTTTTTTGTATCTTTTCCGTTTTAATAAATTAGCCCTTTGGCTTTTTCAAATATATATATATATATATATATATATAATTTTTTTTCCTAGATAAAGAAAACCAATTGAACATTAAAAATAAAGGCAAAAGTTAGATAAGCTGTGAATAATGAGAGTTCATCTTGTTTCCACGTTAAACTTGTGTGCTTGTTAGTTTATAAACTAAAACAAGAATACACAACCTCAGGATGCACAGCTACAGCTATATCCCCAAAAAGTGTCTCAGGCCGAGTGGTCGCTATAGTCAAATAATCACCTCTGCAATGGAAATAAGAAAATAATAAATAGCACTTTCAAAATCAAACGAAGAATTAATGCATATAAAATAAAAGTAAACTGAAAGTATGGAACTCAACTGGCGTACGAAAGTTTTGGCCTAATTACTAATTTCATGTGCACAAATATTTGAATAACAAAATATTCACCTTAGCCAAAATGAATCAATTCCTAGAATATATGGAAATTGAGCAAAAAATATTTAAAAAAAACTTAAACCATATTTAAAAAAAAATTGCATGGTTCAAAAATTCTCATATAACAATTCTAGCTTTTACAACATTAAGAAAAATTTTGTGAAAAAAGATTTGAATGCACTTTTCAAAAACAAAACCTTGACAAGAATAGGTTGGCCTACCATAAATAAAAAGGAAAAGAGCATGGTTAAGTCTGAGAACCAATAGCTGGTTGAAATAACCAGGGATTAGAAATATGACTCAGCAATGCAGTATATGAAAGCATTACATGTTCTTGCAAATTATAATCAGACGATAGAAGAACAATACCTTGATCCACCAGCAACACGGTACTTAAGATAAAACAAAGTACCAGGTTCTTCAGAATACTCAACTTCCTAAAAACAAATCAGAAAATCTCCAAGTCATATTTAAGCAAAATATTGCAACAAAATTCAAATTTTGACTACAATAAGTGCTTTAACAAGTCATACATGATGAATCAATCAATCTTTTAGATTTGACTTTCGGTAAACCAAAAAAGAATATCTCAAAAAAAGAAAAAGAAGAGGCTCAAACAATTTAGTGAACAAAAAACGAGAATGCTAGAATAAAACTTCACTAAATCTGTGAAATATGTTATTTGAAAAAACTGCATTACAGGATGACATCCCTCAAAGACTAGATGATTGTACCGGATTTAGATGGCATTAGTATGTATTAGAAAGATGAAGTATTCTATGTTTGGGAAAAAGATACATTTGATGCCATTGTATTCTGAAGAAAGAGAGGTAACTAAAAATAAAATTGCAATAATTTATCTTGCTAGACCAAACTATAGTTTATCTAAATTCTTCTTCACTCTATCCTTCCTACTACCCAATTATGAGAAACAATTTCAAAGCTCAAAATTGAAGCAGTGATCGCATAGCAATTGCAAAGAAAACAATGAAGAAAAGCTAACATATACATTGCACTCAATAAACTGGCACGTGTAAAGCTGGATCCAATAATGGGGCCTTGAGCAAGGAAATCTCCTAATTACAGATTGATAAAAAGCAATAATATATCAGGCAACGGATGGATCAGTCAAGAGCACGTGCTCCATTAGTTCAAAGGTGTCCATTCATAACAAAGTTATGGAATTAGTTGCCTGCAAGCTAGCAAATTCAACCAACTGGAAGCCAAAAAGATTAAACACTTTGCACATCAAAAAAGCACAATAACAAAATTAAACACAAACCTACCAAGTCAGATACTGCAGTCTGAAGGTTAGGAGACCAGTTTACCATATAAGACCCTGAAAATGTAAATAAAATAAAAATTAAGAGGCAAACATATTTCAGTAATATATATATGTGTATAGAGAGAGAGAGAGAGAGAGAGAGAGATCAAAATGTTCCCTACTCTATTTGTATGGGGCCATTATATGTTATGTTATGTGGAGCCCAGTCCACTACATCAAAATTGGGTGGTAGTGTGCTTCTTAGGAAATTATCTGTCGAATTAATTTCTTGTTATTTGCTTCCTTAATTAATCACTGCGATATAATTAAGTTCCAAATTATGCACCCGCTTCATCTAGATTCGCTAAATAAAGGCTGCCTTATTCTCCTCACCATTGCTCCTTTTTTGGAATTCCTGAATTGCTGCTTCCTTAAATGGGCCGAAGCAGATATGGCAATGGCTGATTTCAATTTGCATTGGCATTTGATTCTCAAGGCTGTTTCTGATTTCCCTCTATTCAGGCAAGCTACCTTAAATTCTTCTTTGGCCTGGACAAGAATAAAAAGGGCTCACGATTACAGGGAAGTATTATTACTCTCCAACAGACTTCTCTCCTTGGATTACTCTCCGGCGTGAGGCTTATACAGAAGAAATAAAGGAATCGCAAGGTTGCTTTTCTTTGAAGCCGTCTTTCTTCTTCTTGGTATGACTCTCGGTTTAGAGAGAGAGAAGAGGAGGAAAGAGGGAGAGGAAGAGAAAAAAAGTGTTTTCTTGTAATCGTCGAGGTGATCGACGGGTGTATTCCTCGAAACTAACAAAATCTTCTACAGCTTCGTGGACGTAGGCAATTTGCCGAATCACGTAAATTTGTGTGTTTCCGCCGTTTTTTTCTGTTTTGCAATTTTTTTTTATCTGAAATTTGTGTGTTTCCGCCGTTTTTTTCTGTTTTGCGATTTTTTTTTATTTTTTTTTTTGTTTTATTGTCGTCGTTTTTTCACAACAATTATAAACATAGCCATCTAATGTGTTCAATTTAGTCCGCTGACACCTCAAATATATTCCAAAATAGTTCCTTTGTTGAATTATTCCAAATCAAAATTGAGTCAAAGGAGCAAAATTAAACACCTTACATAGTCTGGGGCTAAAATAACCAATTATAAATAGTTTGAGTATGATTAACTTTTCTCTCTCTCTATGTATGTGTGTGCGTGCATGAAGAGAGATTGAGGATGAAAGATTTATCTCCATATTGGAAAAAATTAATTTTCCAAGTTGAATTTTAGGACTATCCCTTCTAAAGTCATTAAACATGAAATCATAATGTCCATTTCATCCAGCTTGAAAAAATAATTAAGGATTAAGTTTCTTAAGTTTCATAAGGCTAAACATGAAATCATAATGTCCATTTCATCCAGCTTGAAAAAATAATTAAGGATTAAGTTTCTTAAGTTGCATAAGGCTATATCTATTAGATGTAAAACAAAAAGTAAGCGACAAAGTAGTGGAAATTTTCATTGCTCCATTTGGTCACATCATGGCATCAAAAGAAAAAAATAACGAAATATTTGAACTTTTGCCAATCAGAACAGATTTAAAAAATCAAGCACGAAAAATAATCTGAATATCACAGCAAGTTTTCATCTAAAAAACTGCTAAACATAATGGGTAGAATTCCTAGGGAACAACCACAAATAAACCCCATCTTAATGGTCTTCCATTTAGTGCAAGAAAATGGATTTTTGCCGACCAGAACAGATTTACCAATGATCGAGCAAGCAGGAATTCTAGCTAGAAGTACAAAGCCTCAAGCCCAACTTTGTCATTCACATAATAAAATTGTAACTAGAGAAAGCGTATGGTAGTAGAAAAACCCCATTAATCATTTCTCAATTACATAATAGTGTTAGCATTCAAGATTCACCCTCAAGCTAATCTGTAAACTCATACAAACGAAGCTTATGCAATTTTTCAATAGGATCTTAACAACTCTGGTAAGAATATCAACAGTTTGATTAGAGGAAGGTATATAAAAAAAGTTCCATTTGAATTTATTTTATTAAAGAATTGATCTATATCCACATGTCTAATATGAACACTATGGACAGGAGTGTGCATTATATTGATATGAACCTTATTGTCGTAATATAGTATCCTAAGAGTCTTGATTGTTATTTGGAAAATTCTTTTTAAGTATAGCCCAAGTCAGATTAATTTACTAATCCTCTAGCCAAGGATCTGATTTCAAAGAACAATCAAGACTCTTATTTTATGATCAAGCGAGCAGGAATTCTGGATAAAGTACAAAACCGCAAGCCCATATTTGTCATTTACGGACCGAACTTTTACCTAGAGAAAACATATGGTAGAACATAAATCCCATTAATTATTTCCCAATTACATAATAATGTTAGCATTCAAGACTCGCCCTCAAGCTAATAAGTATACTCATACAAACGAAGCTAATCAATCATTTTTTCAATAGGATCTTAACAAATCGGGTCAGTAGTTTGATTAGAGGAAGGTATAAAAAAAAGCTCCCTTATGAATTTATTTTAATAAAAGTATTGATCTACCTCCACATGTCTAATTTGAACATGATGGACAGGAGTGTGCAATATGTTGATAGGAATCTTATTGTCGCAATATAGTATAATAAAAGTCTTGATAGTTATTTGAAAAATACTTCAAATGGAGCCTAAATAAAATTAATTTACTAATCCTACTAGTCAAGGATCTGATTTCAACTTCTACACTAATTGCCATGGCAATATTTTTTATTTATCCATGCTACAAGATCACCAATACAAAAGTACAATGCCCTAAAATGTCACGACCGGGCCCAGTTGTTGTTTTTGCGTGATCTAAAATACACCAATTGATGTGGTATATATATAAATCAAACAAGAGAATAATCGACGTAGTGAAAAATAGAACGAGAAAAATCACATCATAAAAGAACAACACAGCGGAACACACAGATTTACGTGGTTCGGCAAATTGCTTAAGTCCATAGAGTTGCAGAGGATTTTACTACTTGAGGAATTTATACCAGTTGATCACCTCGACTTACAAGAGGAATCTCTCACTCTTTGTTGCTCTCTCTCTTCTTCTCTCTCTGTTCTTCTCTCTCTACACCGAGATACACCGAAGAAGACAAACTTACAAGAGAAATAAACTCAATTTCTATTCTGTCACTAGTCATCAAAAAGAAACCTAGGGAGAACAATCTTAGGGAGAACAAAGAAACCTAGGGAGAACAATCTTCTTCTTCCTTCTTCCTTCTTCCTTCTACCGCAAGGAACTGCTCCTCCTTGCACTTCTCTTCTACCGCCCCGTGGAAGCCCGAATAACTCTTCCTCTATCCCAAGAAAACCCGAAGAAAAAACACCAAGCGTAATACTAAACCCAAGGAGAGTCATCCGAAGCTTTTATCACGAACAGGAGGGAGCAAAGAGATGCTTCACTTCACAAAAGAGAAAGAAGGGAGTGATTATTTGTGAAGAGGCGTGACTCTCCAAAGCAAAGTAACCGCCCAAGCATAGTGGACCGGGCTCCACCATTTCTAACAATTCTCCCACTTGGAGACCGGTGCACAGGCTGCAACATCTCCTTCCTCAAACTGATATCCTCAACTGCAATTTTTATAACATAACATTTTTATAACATAACTTCTCATTTTTATAACATAACTTCTCATATTTTATCTTTTTTTGCACATTATTATTCCACCACCAACTATTTTTATTTATAAAAACTGTCTTTTCATTCACTAATTACATCTTTTGTCACTTATTTAATAGTATTTATAATTTTATCACACAAAGAATTTGTTTCTTCATGAACATACCAAATCTTGAAATCTTTAAGTTTAGTCATAAAAATAATTTTATCTGCGTCTTTTAGGTGGCCCAACTAACTCAACAAGAATGATTCCTGGTATTATTTACTTTTCAACTCTGCATCTTAAAATCTATTGACTAATAATCAATGTTGAGTGCTTAAATCCTCACTTTAAACAAGCTTACAATCTTTACATTCTCGATGATCTCTTCTTATAAGAAAATAATATAAGAAAATAATTAATTTGTAAGAAAATAATTAATTTGTGTTTTATTAGATCCTTTCTTATAAGTAATAATATGTTCATCTCTTTTCTTGAATAAAGTATTAGCAATAACAAAGTCATAAGTTAAAGCAAAATCTAATATGGCTCTACCTTCTACATTAATCACTCCAAAACCGTTGACACCATTAATATTTCTAAAATCTTCTACCACTCTAACGACATGTCCATTTAAATCTCCTCGAATAAAAATACTTTTTTCAATGGGTAACATTTGTATTAATTCTTCTATGTCGTTCTGAAATTTATCTTTAAAACCTATATCTAAACTTACTTAAGGAGCATAAGGCCTTATAATATAAAAAATCTTAGTATTAACAATGTTAGTATCAACAATGATCTTAAGAGCTATAATTTTATCTCTAATTCTATTAATTTTTACAACATTATCTTTTGAAACTCTTATCTATAATTACACCACCATTTCTAGTGTCTCTTACGTGAATACCAAAGTTTAAACCTAGGTTATTAATTCTCTTAGTCTTTTCTCCAACCAATTTAATTCCAACCACTCTTAGTCTTTTCTCCAACCAATTTAATTTCTTGAATACATAAGATATTTATCTTTCAATGAATCATAATATCAACTAATTTCATTTATTTACCTGTGAGAGTACTTATAGTCCAAGATCCTATCATAATATTAGTTTCATGGACTAATATCTTTACGCGCATCCGTCTGTAATGAGGGAACCCTTTCTTATTTGACACTACACTCAGGCGCTGGTGTAGCAGACTTGCATAATTTTCATTGTATTTAGTTCATATATCGCGTTACTTCCATGGGACGCCCTAGCAATTACACAATGATCAAAAAGATTCATGTCATGATTTTTCGACAAAATTTACACTGAAATAAAATGTAATCCAAGCATATGCTAATAGGATTAGCAATCTCAAAACACTTCTAAGAAATTGAACCGTCATGTAATAAAGTTCGCAAAAATTATGTGGTTTTGCCGATATTACCTTGATATATCAGTCCCTTTTCATGTAGTCTGACAAATGCCTCAATTACAGCACCTGAATCAATTTCAAATTCACAAAACAATATTAGAAATGAAGAACTATAAAATTATAAATAATGTAAAATTCCTACGTAAAAAACAAAAAATAGAGGCTATTGTAAGCATGCAAGCGAAGTACATAACTTGATAGCACTAGTCCCAACATAGCATAGCATAACTCTTATCTTACAAAGGCCAGCATGACAATTAGAAATTAATCTAGGTTTATCAAAAAAGTAAATGAAATGTTACTTAAAAAAGGAAAAATACATCCCATGTCTCCTAGAGAAATAACTCGCTCACATCATCCATACCAGCACACAACTTCCTCATTTCACCTATTCTCTCAATTTTTCTTCGATTGCAAAACTCTCTTCTAATTCATCGCACTCACTCGCAAACCTCTTCATTAATCTCATTCCAACGCTCACCAAATGAAGCTCCCAGCTTGCCCCTCATCTCCTTCCCTCTTTGCCCCTACCCAAAGTTCCTCAACCTTTTATCAACAAAAAAGATGATTGGAGCTCATCAGAGAAGGCATCAATAGGATCAACAATGTGTGACAAAAAAAGCCACAAAGAGAGCTTGTTTGTAGAAGGCTTGGCAAAGAAGGCATATGCAAAGTCACAATAAGAGCTCAAAAAGAAGGAACATGCAAATCCAAAAAACAGCCCATTGAGAGAAAGCAACGATGGATCGAGCAACATGTGAAAGAGGGAGACGTGTGAGAGCTCCTTGGGGAAGGAAATGATGTGGCTAGTAATGTGAAGAGAAGAATTCAAGAGACTCCAAAATCCAAGTTAAATCCATAAAATGCCCAAATTTATTAAGGTAGGGATTAATGGTAAAAGGAAAAGAAATTGGAATCAAGATTTTGTGGATTTAGAGATATAATTTCTTATTAAGCGGAATTTAAGTATACAACAACAACAACAACAACAAAGCCTTAATCCCACTACGTGGGGTCGGCTACATGAATCCTTTTTCTCCATTGCGTCCTATTTAGTGTCATATTTTCATTTAGTTCTAGTAAATTAAGATCATTTTTAATACAATAAGCCCAAGTCTTCCTAGGTCTACCTCTGCCTTTCTTAACACAAGTCGAATTTAAAGCATCTACTCTCCTAATCGAATTTAAAGCGGAATTTAAGTATAAATATACTCAGATATAATTTCTTATTAAGCGGAATTTAAGTATAAATATACTAAAATCCTACTACCAAACACCGCCCCCCACCCCTCCTCTTCCTGATACCGGAGGAAGCCCAAACCATTAGGAAGGGGAGCCAGCAGCAGAAAGAGGGTCGGAAGGGGCATGTACGACTGTAGAGAGGTGGTCGGAAGTCTGATTGCCAGTCAGGATGGGCTTGGAGGCCTGTGGGGTGGCCGGAACATGGCTTGCGGCTACTGGAAGGGGGCTGGAGGCCGAGACAACAACAAAGAAGCCAGGATTTAGCTACAGCTAGCACCTCCCGGACCGTTGAAGACGGTCACCACCTCGAATGACATATAGACGGAGCACATTCTCGTCGTCAGGTACAGCTCCCGGAGGGGAAGAATGCCTCAAAGGCAGCAACTGAAATAAACAATCATCAAAAATCCTCCCCACCCAAGGAGAACAAAACAAAATATAAAGGATCCTAGAACAAAGAAATAGGAAAAGAATTTGAAATTGGGATGAAGTGGAAGGTGGTAGAAAAAATAAGCAATGAATAGGGAGAAATTGAAATTGGAAAGAAATAAAAAAAAAAGAAAAGGGAATAGAAAAGGCAAACAATAGAATAGGAAGGAATTGAAATTGGATAGAAATAGAAAAGGTAATGGAATAGGAAAGGAGAGGGGGAGAGAAGGACTGGCCCGCGATACTGTAGCAGCAACAGTGCCGCATCCGCGGCACTGTAGCAGCCATAGTACCGCGACCCTCTCTAACTATCTCTTACCATTTCCTCTCTCAAATCTCACTATCTACATAATTCTTGCACTTTCTACCACTCTAACGCGCTCACTCCCTCTTCTTGTGTTCCCTCTCTCCCTCTCTCCCTCTCTCCCTCTCCCTTTTTTTTCTTCTTTTTTTTCTCTCTAAATTGAGAGAACAAAAAAAAGTGAAAGTGTATAAAAAAGACAGAAAAAAGGACAAAAAAACATAAAAGAAGAAAAGGGGGTGTGTGTATTATGATCTTGCAATTTTATTGCCTTGCTCGACAAGTATGTCGTTGACAAACCTCGTACAATGTATAATGCAAAGCAAGCCACTAGCCGAAATGTTCATGAACATCATCCACGTTATTTATATATTGTTTGTAAATTTTCTCAAACATGTGAAAACCCATATATAACTTTTCTTGGCATGGTAGAAGAAAGCACATTCTTTATTGATTCAACATGAGATGACAATCTCGGGTACTAAAATAAAATGCCCGTATTTTTCTTTTTGGACGCAATGAGGAAATCCTATTTGCAAAAATTTTGCTCAAATATAAAGAGACATGCGCATCATTCTTACATAGTGGGGTAGAATACTCGACCGTGGTGTCCTAATAACAACAATACATTTACTCCCTATAAACGTCTCGTGTGTGGGAGATGTCAGAAGGCTTCTAAAATTTATGGTAGCAAGACTTGAAATATAAAAGACTTACAGAAATTTTTGTACCCAATAGCACAACTAAAATGAAAAATAAAATAAAATCATAAAAAGATATTATATGAATACTCAAAATTACATACTAGTTTTGTTAAAAGAATCAAATAGAATCATAATTGAACAAGAACATAAAATCAAAACTTAAACTTACATAAAGAGACAATGCAATGAACTTTTAAGTGAAAAGGAATGTGGTTTCATATTTACATATGGAAAAACAATTCGTTATGTGGCACAATTGAGTAAAATACTAAACACAAGGCAAATAAATCATGTCCCTTGGAAAATACTAGATTTCAGCTTGCGATTATCACAATTGAAACCATAAGCGAACACATGTAAGCGAACAGAACACGACCAAAAATTAACTAAAAATACAAAGTCACGAGCGCTTTAATGACAATGACTTCACGTGAATCATTATAATATTAGTCCTTAACACATCTCAAATCGTGTGTTCACATAAATGAGAATCTTTTCAAATAAATTAGAGTGATTCATTGTTCCCCAATAAAGGAAGAGAGAGAAGAGAGAATTTTCAAAAAAAAGAAAAAAGAAAAAAAAAAAGACAAACATGGACAACGCATCAAATCAACTAAGTAATTTTATGTGCGATTAAAGCAAATGTGCTAAATTCTTGAATTTAAAGATAGAAAATATTGCACAAACTAAAAATTAGACAAACTCAAATTTCTCCATCCCACAGAAAAATACAACTCCTTTTTGAACAGACAAGCAACCCTTTTGAGAATTAGCAAACCCTCCTTTCAAATTCAAAACTCATGTTGCCTTGATATTATCAATCTAAGCTGTTCTATCTATAGGGCGGTTTTCGTAAGTGCCACATTTTAACTTAGATCGTCCTCATTTAAATAATCAGAGTCAACAATACTCAATTCCCATGACAAATATCAATGTTACAAGTTTAAAATGAACGCAATCAAAAAATAAATTGAAACTAATACTCTCAATATAATATAATATATTACTATTATCATGAAATTAGAATCAAATGCTCATCATGGAATCTCATATAAGTTAAGACTTCCATTTACACACCGTCATCAACGTTTTTTATACAAAAATTTCATTTTCAAATTGCAAGAACTCTGTATCACGATTGTAAAGCATAACCACAAGCTCAACTTTCACCGTCATCAACGTTTTTTATACAAAAATTTCATTTTCAAATTGCAAGAACTCTGTATCACGATTGTAAAGCATAACCACAAGCTCAACTTTAACGGACTCGACCATCCACATATGAGGGCAAAGTTAAAAAAGTTCTACGATGTAAAAATTGTTTAAATACTCAATTAAAGTAAATGAACACAGACTTAGTCGATCACATGCAAGAAAGTAGTGTTGGTGACAAAATACAATGACATTAGTTGCACAGTTAAGTAACAAATAGCGGAATGTCTTACGACTTAGTTGTTCATCAAGGGTGAAATGTTCCCGTGACCAATCACAGGATGCACCCAATCTTCTAATTTGTTTTGTAATTGTGCCTCCATACCTGATACCAAATAGCGATAGAATTGTATGATAAGAAAATATTTACACTGAAAACTAAAAAAAAAAATTATACAACTAGAACAATAAGAATTAACAACATGAAATGTTTTTTAAAAATAATAAAAAAGATCTCTTAAAAAAATGTTATCCAGTGTGGCATTTTTTGAAAAAAATTAAAAAAAGGATTTTTTTTTAAAAAATCTTGCCCTATTGATTAAACTTGTCAATGAAAAATTTTAAAAATATATATTTCATGCTTTTTATGTGTGCCAAGTTCTGTTACAACACAAAAATGGACATATTACAAATGCTGAATGGATCAAGCCTTCTAACGTTACTTGGAGACTTTAATAACTAAGGTGCCACTTTTTACTGCATGCAACAAGATAATGGACAAATGACATGTTGCAAAGCCCTTAATGAGGAGGAAAAAGTCCAAAATTATCTATGGATTATTTTATGCATCTGAGGTGTTAGGTTTATTAGCTTTTGGAGAAATATTTGGAATAGCATGGTTACAAATTATAGTTTTTCTTTATGTATTGTCCTCGAATAGATAGTCAAACCAAAGTGATTGATATGTGTTTGGGATACTGGACTACTATATTTCATATTAGAGCGAGTTTCTAACTGAGATCTAATACTCAAAATGAAATTTGAATATAGAAACTTTTATAAATGACCTGATAACAACATCTATTTCAAATTAAAATTATTATCACCATAGAAAATCTATAGATCTACTTGAACTGCCACATGTATTTAAGCTAGGAAACTTGCATTATCATATGCATAACATATGTAATGGTTTTATGGCCATAAAGTTAACATTTACTGCAAACGTATTCTTAGCATTGACAACTATAAATCTATAAAAAGAATTTACAAAGGCGGCAAGAATTTGAATAGTGAAACACTGTTACTAATAAAGGAAAGCAAGATCCATTTCCCAGGTTATAATGCCTGAGATTATTCAAGCATAGTCCATTCTAATACATGGGAAGATTACATTTCGTCCAATGATCATAGTAAGCCCGCAACCCTCTGATTCCCCTTTCCAAAGAAAAGACCTTCAGATATTTTAAATCATCTTAATCAATAATTATAGAACATAAAACATATATAAAAGCTACAGGAAAGAAGAAGAGAGAACGGTATTAATAAAAGTCGATCTTCATCTTCTAGAAAGGAAATCTGATTTTTTAAAGATCAACCTATTTTTCACCCAAGTGATTATAATCTACCAAACAACATTATTTACCTTTTTATAGTAATTACGGAATCTAAATTCTTAAAAGGAGTGCTTCTCCTCTTCCTAACCATGATTAGAGGCCATAGAAAATATATATCCTTAAGAGATTTAAAAGGAGAATGATAAAACTTGCAAGGGTCTAGGTAACCAAAGAAAAGGTGCATATCTAATCCTAACGTCATTTAGAGCCAAGTAAGATCGGTTAGTCTCCTAAAGAACTATGATATTTAATCTAGTGTTCAATGTGTATCGCTTAACAACATAAAATAAGCTACCAATTGATGTCAAGGACTCCCTTGCTCTCATTCTCTTCTAGTTTCAACCTCTTGGTACAAAAATACATTTGATGCCTTTCCTCCAATTTGGCTACTGCTTCATTATCAACCACATGAGCCATTGTAAACAAGTAATTTTGGCCCATGACTGAGGATCTCAAAGGTAACTTGTCAAATAGAAATGCGGACATTCATCCAAATATTATTGAGTATCGGTGGAGTGGCATTAATGATTCAACTTAATATTCATAAAAAGTAACAGAAATGTCATTTGCATAAACCAATTTTTTTTCAAGATGTGCAGAGCTGCAGGATTTTCAAGTTTTTAGTCATCAAAAAAATGCAAATTAATTGTGTTGCATCAATATTTGTGTTTTAGTAACCTAATAGAATATTTATTGTCAATAGTTTGAAGTATTGGAAGGGTGCCTAAAATTTTATAGATATGAATGCCCGTATGGGAGTTTCTCACAGCAATCTCCATTTGGCTAGCAACAGCCTGAACATATTTAAGAAAAAAAAATGTTTTCCACACACAATAAATATGAAAATTAAGTGCACATACCAAAAATCCGTACATCTCGAACCTATTACACATTTAACATTATATATTAAACACAAATACAGAACTTTTTTGCAACTTTAAATAATCATATCACACACTAATAGAGGTTCAAGATCTAATTCATCCAATTCTCAGAAAATCATTATTACAACTAATACATAGCATGCAATAACTTGTAATTATCCATAAATATTCAAATGTTAAAAATTTGGAGGCATACCAAAAAATTTTCATGACCTGGCCCAGGACTTAGAATTGATCAAGGTGGGCACAAACAGCCAAACAATGAGAATTAAAATTCTCTATAATCATTTTCTATAACTAAAATTTAATTAATGAAAGAGGCACTAAAGAAAGTACATTAAAGCAGTACAATTAAATTTACTTCATTACTGATTGTTCACGTTTTTATAAATATTTCCTCTTCTATTGCTCATATTTTAAATCACTTAATTAAACCTGAAATGTTAGTTAAAAAATATGATGAGCTAACTCTAACCAGTGAATACTCATACTCGATTACAATAGCACAATAAAAGCAAAAACAATATGCATGTCATTTAAGCCCTTAATAAGTCAAATAATAAAACATTTGCTAGGTTATGAATATGATCACTTGCGATCTTTCATAATAATTGAGATGTTTTGCAATATCAATAACATATATATATCATTTATATATGTACAATCATCACAGGAACACCGTCTAAAAGTTGTACTAATTAAAGTATTTTAATATCAATAGCCTTTTCATTTTACGTTCACGGATAACTCAGTATTCTCCCGCCAGTACCATAAAAAGATAACTCTATCATAGTCAAGCATACACATATAATCAATCTATGCGGTTATATTATTCAAAATTTCATATCACTCAATAGGTAATATTTGATACTATAATGCATAAAAATTTCAAAATAAGAGATTATAAACATTCATATCGAAATGACTGATAAAATTTAAGAATAGAGAAATAAGTTGCATTAAGCAAGCATAATTAACAACTCATATCACTAGTTTGGAAGAGATGCAAAAATGATATTATACTTTAAGATGAGTTTTCACATCAATCACTGATGATTCTCTTGTTAAGCGTTTTCTTCACTTATCTCTAATGAAAACCTAAAGTTAAATGCATAAAGAAATATTATTAATTTTTTAGGTGTTAATCTTATTATTATAAGAAAATTTACATTTATTTTACCACTTATGTATCATATATTAATAATTATTTTATTTTTCTATGCTACTTGTTATCTTCATTTCATAATATAAATTTAATTACTCTTTCAAATAATTTAACCTTAATAAAATACTGCCAATAAAAAGTTGTTCCTCCTAATTTAACATTCTAATACTTTATGTAAATTATATATTTCAATTAGGCTTTAAGATTTACACAAATATACATACATTTATATTATGTAACAATTAATTATTTTTACTATTGATTTCTTTGAATTCATTATATCACAGTAGTCCATAGATTAATAAACAAATAAAACTTAAACAAATCAAACTCTAACATTTATTTACTACCACCACAATTTTCTCGAAACAAAAATACTTCTATAGTTTAAATGCTGATTTAATTACCATACTATTAATAATTAACAATTAATAATATACTAAATTCATAAATTAATATTATTAGAACCCTTACATTTAATTACTTGATTAACCCAAGCACCCAATTTGCATTTATTTTACCATTGATGTATAAATAATGATACTTATTTCATTTTTTATGCCACTTGTTATCTTCATTTCATAATATAAATTTAATTGTTCTTTCAAATAATTTAACTTCATAAAATATTGCCAATAAAAAGTTGGTCCTCCTAATTAAACATTCTAATATTTTATGTAATTTATATCTTTTCAATTAGGCTTTAAGATTTATACAAATATACATACATTTATATTATGTAACAATTTACTATTTTTATTATTGATTTCTTTGAATTCATTATATGTCACATTAGTTCATAGATTTAATAAACAAACAAAACTTAAATAAATCAAACTCTAACCTTCCTTTACTTCTGCCACCGTTTTCTCGAAACAAAAATACTTATATAATCTCCTATTTAATCACCCTCAAATTAATAATTAATAATATACTAAATTCATAAATTAATATTATTAAACCTTACATTCAATTACTTCATTAACCCACGCAGTCACACCCTTCTTCTTCCCCCGCTTCAATGCCTTCGGCTTCGACAACGAGCTTGTCTTCCCCCTCTATAGGTTTTAGCTTGTTGGTTCCTTCAAATGAACAAATTAAAGACAAGAATCTCCCTTCTTCCCAAGCACACAGGTTGCACATGCAAATCTTCTCCCAATGCGCTCAAAGGTTCTTCTATCACACATGATAAGCTTGCATGACTCCTTCGGCTCAATCGCACGAGACTGTCGGTCAACTTTTTCTTTGATTGATTAGTTTAGATTTTGAAAATATGAAAATATGAAAATAATTTTTGAAATTTAATTTAAGTATAAAAGATATACATTTTTTGAGTTTTAAAAGTAGTATGTTTTAATTTTTTGAAAAATGAGACCAATTGGATCTCATTCGTCAAATAGTTTGCATAATCGTGTCTGATACCGCGAATACTACACTCTCCCGAAAGATAAGTGTAGACCTCGGCGATAGACCCAATCCTGCAAACTACGAGATTTGTGACATCCGTTTAGTCTGCGAACCTTTTATATATGACCGACAAGTTCCCCTATCTAATACAAAGATTAAATAGGGTTTATTTTACCTGGGTTCTAAGTTCCCTATAGAGGCAAGCCCCTATAGTTAATTACATCCCAAATGACGGGAGTCACTTGAGAAAACTCTCGATAATGATCAATGGTTCTAGTCTTCCAGAATTCAAGGTTCATGTTTTCAAGGTAGG